TGAGAGAGTTTGCTTCCTCCCTCTCTGCTTTCAACCACGTGAGGATGCAATGTGAAGACAGCCATCTGCAAACCAAGGAGCAGGTCCTTAGCAGCCACCGGAACTTCCAGCACCTTGATTTTCACTCCGCAGCCTCCAGAATGGGGAGAAATAAATATTTTTTGTCAGTGTCACCCAGTCTATAGCAATTTGTTATAACAGCCCAAACTAAGGCAGTATTTATAAACCTAGAGTTGCCAAAGAAGAAGGCAAGATAGCACACAAATTATCATTACACAACTCTAAAATTTTTTACTGCTCTATGTCTATATGCTAACATTTTCTGGCATCTAGAAAATTTGAAATGAGGGCACCATTAAAATTCTTGCTACCAAAAATTTCCATAATCACAAAATACAGACCTATACAGAGCACTGTCGAGAGAAACAGGAAAAATCAAAACCTCTGAATATATTATTCTTCACATTAACTAGTCCCTTCTAACGAACACCTAATATATACAGCACTTCAGAATTTTCAAAGCACTTTCATGACTGACTTTTTTCAATAAATGAGGACTGTTCTATCAAAAACCTGGAATATTTCACTAAGACAAGAAAATGACTTTTATCCAATACTGTTCTGTGAATAGTTACAACATCTTGTTTTTCTAAAATTAAATTATGTGTCTGCGTATACACACATACATACACACATATATGGAGAAAAATGCCAAAACTAACTTTTTTTTTTTTGAGTCAGAGTCTCACTCTGTTGCCCAGGCTGAAGTGCAGTGGCATGCTCATGGTCACCCCAGCATTGACCTGCTGGGCTCAGAAGATCCTTCCACCTCAGCCATCCAGGTAGCCGGAACTACAGAAGCGCACTACCACGCCCGGCTAATTTTGTTGATATATTGTAGAGACAAGGTCTCACCAAGTTGCCCAGGCTGGTCTCGAATCCCTGGGATCAGACAATCCTCTCGCCAAAGTGCTGGGATTACAGGTTTGAGCCACCGCATCCAGCCAAAACTAACTTATAATGACTCCTTCGTTTGTGGTAGCCAACCCACTGTATCCACCAACCTTAAAACATAGTCAGTTTGTTATCTGCATTCCTCTCTCTATGCTCTACTCCTTAGAAACTGCATTCACTAATTAGGCTTCAAACTTTACAACCGTGTGGTTGATTCCCAAATTGTTAAACACCTTCAGAGTTCCAAACCAAATCTACCAGAATGTCCTGTTAATCCTATAAGCTTAATCTACCCAATACCAAAATCATTTCCTTTCCCAATAGCTCTGATTCACATTCCTGTTGCTAAACATATCTCCAATGATAACACCAGCAGTTACAATAGTGATTCCAACCTGGATGTATGCAAGAGGACATATGGAGATGGGGAAAGAAATTTGTAATATCTATTCCAATTCTTTTCATCCTTTTTAAAACCCCCACTGCAAAATGTCTACATCTGAACATTGGCAAAGGGAGACATGTTAACCAAGGGAACTCAGTCAAAAAAGTTTAGGAAAACATCGAGACCTGCCTGGGCAACTTGGCGAGACCTCATCTCTACAATAAATCAAAAATTAGCCGGGCGTGGTAGCGCACGCCTGTGGTTCCAGCTACTTGGAAGGCCGGGGTGGAAGGATCACCGGAGCCCAGTGGGTAGAGGCTGCGGTGGCCAGGAGTGGCCACTGCCCTCCAGTCTGGGCGACACAGTGAGACTCCAACTCAAAAAAACAAAAAAAAGTTTAGGAAAACAAACTAAAACTCAAGCTCATTAGCTTGGTGACCTCCACTGCTACAATTTGACCTTCTGCCATTCTTCACAGACATTAAATCCCACCAGTAATTCCACTAACACCATTCTCCAAACATAGCCTATGCTTTCAAACACCTAACCACTTACCTCTCCTCTTGGCAAGCTGCTAATCTCCATGTGGCCAAATCATTCAAAGTCAGTATCAAACTCTCTCTTTTCTCAAAATTCTCTGAGCTTAGGTGGTAAGTTCTTGGGTCACTCCTTTCTTTCACCTCATCATTGAGTCCTTTATGTGTAGCTTAGCTCCCAGTACTAGAGAGTGTTCTTGAGGACCATGGTCTTGTCTCATAAATGTCCCATTTCCCATACTACCTAGGCACCATGCAATAAACTTGACAAATGTTAAAGAAATGTTTGTTGAATGAACAGCAAATTGTAAACTAGACCTTTTAATGTTTTACCAGCACTCTCTAATGATGAGTGTCACAAACGGAAAGTGAAATTAGTCACACTATGTGAGAAAAAAAGAGAATTTGCCTAAAAGAAATCCAGCTACAACTTAAGGAGCTGCCCAACTTTGTAAAAATGAACAAGGCATGCTTCCACTTAATGACATAGAGTGGAGGTGTGTGGAAGCTAAGCACAGTGGCAGGCCCTCCTCTCCTCTCCACCCACCTACCATATTCTTACTGTTTGGTTCATACAGTCTCACGGCTTCCCATTCTCCTCCCCAGAAATCCAGACTCTTCAATCCAACTACATAGTTGTCATCTCCATTTGTATAACCGATAAGCACCTCTCAGTACCACGGTCAGAGAAGAAAGCATTTAGAACAGCACTTGGCAAATATTACATTTCCATTAAGCCTAAGCTATCATCATCATCATCATTTTTCTGTCTTCTTCTCTCACAACCAACCCACCATGTCAATGGTACTTCAAAACATTACTGAAAGTTGCTGACTTCTCTCACTTATATCACCACATGCACTTCAAGTTACTATTTGGATTAATGTGATGAACTTCCAGCCTAATCTTCCTGTTTTCATTCTTTCTTTAGCCTCCAAAGTGGTTTTCAAACAGCAGTCACAGTAATCTATTTAAGACATAAATCAGTTCATATCACTCCCTTATTCAAAATCATCTAATGGCTTTATACTACATTATGCTTAAAAAAATCAAACTCTACCCTGGTTTATCCAAAGTCTCACAAAGTCTGACATCTCGCACTGCAGTTTGATCTTATACCACTTTCCCCTAGCTCACTACACTCCAACTACACTGAACCTTTTAATTCTGAAAAAAGTGCCAAGATTCTCTCCTTGGGGCCTTTGCATTAGTGACTTTCCATGCCTGGAATGCACTTTCCTCTGTATTTGTTCAGCTGACTCCTTCATGTCATATATAATATTGTTATTGTTTATTTATTTGGTAATTGTCTATCTCCCACCAGGGTATAAACTTTATAAGAGAAGAAATGTCATCTGTTTTCTTAAGTACTATAGCCCTAGTACTCAAAACTATGCATAGATGAACAAATAAAAAGTTATTTAAAAATAAACATTTAAATGAAAGAACTGGCTACAGCTTCTAAAATTGCTATATGAAGCAAAAAAAAAAAAAAAAAAATATATATATATATATATATACACACACATGTATTTTTCACTCCTCTTTTCCCTAACCGGTATCAATCTATTGTGTTACCGCTCCAAATTCACCCCTTTTGCCTGCTCTGTAACTGGACCTTAATATGCTTACCTTTTGATATTTTCTCAGAGTTTGAAGACCTAAAACCCCTGCTTATACAATTCCTTACAAAGGCACAGTTATCACCAAAAGACCCTAAGAATTACAATCAGAAAACCTGAGATCAAGTCATGGCCCCAGCAATTACTAGCCAACATATCCTTGGACAAACCACTTAGACTCTTTTCCTCATTCATATAATGCAGGTTATATCCCTGTCTATCTTAGATGCTTGTAGTGAGGATTCACAGTATGCACAAACAGTAAAATATGAGCAAAAGGAATTGCATATATTATTCAATATCTGCCAGTCCAATAAAATTTTACTGAACACTAACCCAATGTACCAGATGCTACAAATATAAGTCTAAAATACTAGACCCAGATTAAAAGACAACACTGCAAAATGTGTATAGTTTAAAGATGTCACCACTAAGAGTCATGTTTTCAACCAACTACTTATACAGCCCTGAGCACATCACTTGTTCAATACAACTACCGCCAATTTCACCCAAAACTGCTCGTTTATTGTAGCACTAGCATATCACTAAATTCTTTGTATTTAAGTATGAAGAGTTTCTTCTATATTGCTCTCTACTGATACCAAATACTAATTCAGAACAGAAATCTAGGAATTATATCCACTACAAGTCACACAAATTGTTAAAGACCATATGAGGAGGACTCAGGAAAAAAAAATTCCAGGAAAAAAAAAATTATTTTTGTTGGAGGGTGGGCCCCTTATAGTACAGGCTTCTCCCAGTAGGTAAATGTTTTAGGAACCCATCAGCATCAGTATGCCAATTAGCATTGTTGTGAGAGACTGTATTGCTTCAGTGAATTTTTTTGGAGATTCTTTCAACATGTTTGCCCATTTTATGAGGGATGATTTATGAGCACACCTGCCCACACTGTTCTGAGTGTTCAGCAGTTTTAAACCAAAAATAGCATGACCCCCATACCCCATTCCCATATTCACCTGATCTCACCATAAGTGACTTTTTTTGTTTGTTTACCCAAATGAAAAATGTCCTCAAAAGGAAACATTTTGCCAAAATTGATGAGTTCAAAAACTATCCTGAGCAGTAGAAAAAGCATCATAATAGGTGTATTACATCAAACGGAGAGTACTTTGAAGATGATTGAAGTTTAAACATGTAAGAATAATCACACAAATTTTTTGTAAATAAATTGCAGGTTTTTTAAGGTTCCCTCTCAGAATGAAGTCAATCTCCCAGGAAAAAAGATAGGACCTTCAAGAAACACACAGAGGCCACTCACAAAATTAATCACTTCACCTTTAGTATTTGTAGAAGAAAGAAAGGAAGGAAGGAAGGAAGGAAGGAAGGAAGGAAGGAAGGAAGGAAGGAAGGAAGGAAGGAAGGAAGGAAGGAAGAAAAGTCACCTATGGATAGTAACAAATAAAAACCTAGGAGTTCTGGAATTAACAATGCAGCATCATATGCAATCTGAATATCATTATGAAAATTAAATTAACTTAATTCCTAAAGAAGCAGAGAACAAAACTGGCAAGGGTATATAATTGAATGTGTAAACATGTCAATTAGGGAAAAAAGTAAAATACTTACTGCCAAAGCCTTGGACAGTTTGGCTCTAAATTCATTCAGGATGATCGCCACAATGTCCTTAAGTGGTACATAAGCAAAGCCATTTTCCAAATAGACTTTCCTTCCTCGAAACAAATCCAGAGCATCAGCAAAAGGTATCTGAATTCAGAACAAGACACAGAAAGTAATCAGCACCTGTCATTAAGATGTCCTACTAAGCCTTCATGTATATTGAGTCTAAACCAAGAAATTCCTTAGTCCCAGGAAATCCAAAAGAAAAATAAAAAGATCAATTTATACTCCTTAAAACTAATCAGTTAGTAATAGGAAAGAGTTGCAGTACAAAAATACGTTTGTTCCAAAGATGATATTTTTGAAAAATAATACTACTACTAAAAAGCCAAGTTAGAGTACTTTTTTTTTTTTTGTCCTTAACCCGAGAATTTACAAATTATAATCCCCAGGATTTCAAATTCCTAACTCAAGGCTTCTAAGCATGTTGCATTCACCTCACATATATATCCCACATTTTATTCTGCTTCAAAAGAATCCTAATTTGTATACAACATATTCATTGCTGAAAATTACTTGTAAGTAAAGGAACTAATTTCTTCATCTATGTTTCCATTCTGTCTCTAGAGAAATATATTAGAAAAGCTAATCTGGGCACTAAGAAAAATAAGCATTCAGTTTTGCTATTAAATAAATAAGTTTTGTAAATATACTGCCTAGATATTTTTCAATTCCTATGAACAATCCTAAAACTCTAAGAGATGAGCAGAATTTGATGCTAGTCACTGTAAAAATCATCCTCGCTGGGCTCGGTGGCTCAGCCTGTAATCCCTGTGCTTTGGGAGGCTGAGGTGAGTGGATTGCCTGAGCCCGTGGGTTAGAGATCCACCTGGGCAACTTGGCAAGACCTCATCTCTACAATAAATCAAAAATTAGCCGGGCATGGTAGCGCGCCTGTAATTCCAGCTACTTGGGAGGCTGAGGCAGAAGGAGGTTGCAGTGGTCGGGACTGCACTCCAGTCTGGGTGACAGAGTGAGACTCCAACTCAAAAAAAAAAAAATCATCCTCACTCTCCAACATAGAGTTTTTCTCTATTTTTTAAAAATGAGGTAAAAAAGTAGGTAAAAGGAGCAACCCCTTTGAGTCTCCTCCCACTATGGGAGCTTTTCTAATAAATAAATCCTGCTTTCTAAAAAAAAAAAAAAAAGGAGGTGAAAAACAGTTCCCAAATTGTCAATTTATCCAAGTTTTAGGGAAGAGTTAAATATAAATGCCTGCAATCCTTCTGTATATGCAATAACACCTCATATTATAAACAATCCTGTGTTTTTTAACTGGTAGCTTTTGATTAATTTACTGATTTCTACAACTGCAACACAGTCCCTGCTCTCAAAGAGTTCATCCCTTATTTGAGAAAACAACAGGGCAGACACACATGGAAAGTCAAGCAACCCTAACAGGCAGTACTGTACAGTATTGCACCAAACAGGTATTTCACACAGGGCATATGAGAGTAGCAGGTAAGAGGGTTTACTGCAATAATACAGGCAAGAAAAGGGGACAGAAGTTCAAAACTTGAGCTCGAGTTCAAGCTCTGCTACTGACTAGACTTATGATTCAGTAAATTTAATGAACACCTCTAAACCTCAGCAGTCAAACCTGTAAAACTGAGAGAGGGGAGGAAGAGATGGGCTAAATGACCCTTAGGGGTTCTTTAGCTATAATATTCCATGATTCTAGCTTATTAAGGTGGTCACAGTGGAAATAAAAATGCCCGAGCAGAAGCAAAAGATGATGTGAAGGCAGAGTAATGGGAAATATGTGGTGTGAGAGGAATAAATATTGATTCCCACACTCTAAGCTCAAAAAGCTGACTGAACGATGGCCCAACGGGTAGAAATATGGAAGCTGAAATGGAGGGCTAATGTGGAGGCAGGATTTTAAACTACTGGCACTCACCCACAATAAGCAGCACATTCTTTCCAAAGGAAATTATGGTTCTATAGCTGTCAAATTGTAAAATGAAATTCAGCTCTCACCACTTACTTGTCTGGAAGGTTTCATGCAAAGTGGTTGGTTGTCAGCAAGGGTGAAGGCAGGGGTGGGAACTGTGGCCCAGCACAAGATGCTGGAATCTAAGTGAGCTAAGGAAAGCATTCCCTAGGGAGAGCAAGTGGGCTTACAATGTCACAGCCCAAGTGGAGTGAGAGAGAGAGACAATGTGGAGAGTCAGCCCAGCACACAGTGTCAGAGGCCAAAGGCTTCCATGCAAGGCAGTGATCCAAACAGGGTGCTGGGGACAGTCCAGAGCAGGGTGCAAGACCCCAGACTACACGAGGAGGTATTTGTTGAAGAAATGGCCTTCAGGGAAGGGGTCAGAACCCAAGCAGGTTAGGAAGGTGTCTCTGTAAGGGAACAGAATGTTGGCACACCCTTATTGTGATGAGAACAATATCTAGCAGAAAAGAAAGTTATCTGTGGTAACAACACACTATACAAATGTGGATTAATTAAATGCATATTAAAGATCAATGTGACATATTTAACCAATCCTAGGAAATATTTTAAATATTTACATACCTTATAAACTGACTCTAACTGAACCCCAGTTAAACTTGGTGATGAGGCAACAATTTCCCTTTCTCGGAGAGTCTTTTCTTCATCACTTATCTAAAAAAAAATGGTAAACTGTTTAAAAGATTCAAAGTCTTCGTTCAGTTTCAATAATATGACTTCCTGTTCTAGAGAATACAGTAGACTTTTATAAAAAATATTAAAGCTCTGATATCTCAAATAATTCCTAATATGATTACTGAATTATTATCATTAATGAAGGCAAATTATGAGGGAAAACTTAAATTCAAAATTCTTTCACATTTTAACTCTGCCAATTTCGGAAGACATACACCAAAAGAACCATAGTAGAGAAACACAAAGTGTTATAATAAGGGGGAAAAAAAAAGAATTCAAGATAATACAGACTCAAAATGAGCATTATCCTAATTCATGAGTTATGTTAATTTATTAAAATACCTATCTGAGGTTAGAATGGTTTAACTGTTTCTCAATTTTCTAGCCACATAAGATAACTCAAACTTAAAATACTAGTTTTTCTAGGAACAACTATAAATTTAGTATCTCAGATCAATTATGGCTTTATGAAAGACCGATAGATCTAACTAGACAAAAGTTTTAAAATTCTATACCAAAAAAAACATATATATACACATATACATGTGTACATATATATACATATATGTATATATACATACACACACACACACACACACACACACACATCCATCTTAATGAAGATGAAATATAAATAACAAACTCAGGGAAATGTATCATCTGATGTGATGTAAGGTACCCTTAATAAGCCCCTAGGTAACAGTACATAAGTACTAATAGCCCAATAGTAAAACATGAACAGTCGATATTCATATAACAAAAAATAATAAATGGTAAATTAAAATAATAACGTGAGCCAAGTGCAGTGACTCACACCTGTAATCCTAACACTTTGGGAACCTGAGGCAGGAGGATCACTTGAGTCTAGGAGTTCAAGACCATCCTAGGCAACATAGCAAGACCTCATCTCTACAAAAAAAAAAAGAAAAACAAAATCAAAAAATTAGTTAGGCATGTTGGTATACACCTATAGTCCCAACTACACAGAAAGTTGGGGCAGGAGGGTCACCTGAGTCCAGAAGGTTGGGGTTGCAATGAGCCACTGCACTCTAGCCTGGGCCACAGCTCAAAATATAAAAGCAATAAATAAAATTAAGTTAAAATGTGTACTATTTTCCATCTATTAAAATGGTAAAAGTTTAAAAGATTTAGAATATACAGTGTTGGGACCATCTTGCTAGGGCACTTTGGCAATCCATCATAACCTTAAAAAACACAGACCATAACAATTTCATCTGCAGAATAGTCTTAATAACAATACACGTATGCAAATAAGAAAGATGTTTCTTCATCACAGTGTTATTTTTAATAATAAGCAACAAACCTAAATGTCCAATAACAGGTATTTGGTTAAATAAACTGCAGGAGACCTTGTTTTTTCAGGAAAGCAGGTTATGTCACTTAGGGCAACCTCTTACAGAAAACAGTGAAAACCACTGATAAAACATTTTCTTTGTAGCACAGAAGGTTAATATACAAAGTAAGGCCCATACAAAGTGCAGTATCTAATAAGAGACCCGCTGCTCAAATGTCGTAGGTCATCACTGAACACCAAGTCTTGAACTTGTTTTAAGGTATTCCCAGCTTCAAATACCCCAGGCACCTGGTAGAAGCAAACTCAAATCCTCTCTAGAAGAAAGTACCTTCAAGCACACCTCAAAGTATTCCTACAAATAAATTCTCAAATACAATGCCAAGCACATTGTATTTTATAACAAGACACACGATAAAACTTCATGAACAAAAAAAGTAGAAAAGAGCTCATAAAGTATCAAATAACAACTATGCTACCATGTGTAAAGAAATTAAAGACAAGCTTAATGACATCTGTATAAAGAAATTTAAGACAAGCCTAATGACATCTGTATAAGGGGAAAACTATAAAAAGAATATTTTAAAAAAGAATTTCTAGAAACAGACAAACTGTTGAGAAACAGAAATCAAAAACTCAATGGAATCACAAAGAAACAACTTAAATTTCAGTAACTGTGAGTAATTACTTCTGGGAGTGAACCAGCCTTTACCAGCCTCCATATGGATCTGCAACCCAGTTTCCAATTATCTAGTGGGTCAGAGACCTCAGATCCAGATCTGAATTAAAATTGCTGTGGACTAGCAATGACCCAAGCCAATGGGGAAAAAAAAAATTAAAACCCTTCTGGAGAAAGATATAATCCTGCTAGGCCTGAAGATAGTCCTCCAAATAACTTTCCAAATAGTCTCCAGCATATAATGGTAACAACTCACACCAGGAAACAAGACTCCATGGATTAAAAACTAGACAGGTAAGACAAAAAAAAGTATAAAGGTTGAAAAAGCAGACACACAACTGCCTTTATTCACAGATTATATCATTTAGTATACAGAGAAAATCCAGAAGTATCCACAGATAAATTATTGAAACTATTAGCCTAATTAAGTAAAGTTTCTAGATTCAAATATAAAAAAACCAATTGTATTTCTGTATGCCAGCAACAAAGCTCACAAAAGGATTTTTTTTTTTTAAGCTACCACTTACAACAAAATCAAAACTATCAAGGACCTAGGAATAAATCTAATGAAAGATATGCATGGCTTCCCCACAAAGAAACTATAAAACCTTACTAAGAGAAGCTAGAGAAAACCTAAATAGCAGATACCTGTAGACATAAACCAGAAAATGTAATATTGTAAATGCTTTAATTCTCTTCAAATTGACCTCTAGGTTCAATATAATCATAAACAAAAACACAATAGTTTTTGTGTTTGCCTATGTATGTGAACATTTAGAAGTTGGTTCTAAAATGTATATGAACATGCTAAGGACCAAGAACAGCCAAGTCAGAAATAAGTAAAATAAAGTTAAGTCAATAGAAAACAGGCAAAAGAGATGAACAGACACTTTACAAATTAGAAAATTCAAAAGGTCAGCAAATACAGGACAAGATGCTCAACTTCCTTAGTAATCAGGGAAGTATAAATTAGAGCCAAAGTGAAAACCTCAATGACATACCATTACACAATAATTAAAATGGTTAAAATATAAATTTTTTTTAATGTGGCTGAGGGTGTTGAAGAATAGAAACTGTCTCATATAGTTGATGGGAATATAAAAAGTACAGTCACTTTGGAAAAATATCTGGCAGTGTCTTATAAAATTAAGAATATCTGCCTCTATGACACAGCAGTTCTACTCTCAGGCACTTACCCAAGAGAAATGAAAATATATGATCCCAAAAAGACTATTTATATGGTCCCATTTACATAAAAGAGGCAATACTTATCTATGATAGAAAAAGATTTTCAATAGCAGTTGCCTCTTGTGGGGGCAGGGACAGGGATTTACTAGGATACAGCATGAGGAAATTTTCTGTAGTGAGGATATGTTCTGCATCTTAATAAGAGTTTGAGTTACACATGTTTATGCATTTGTCAGAACTCATGAACGGGTATGCAAGATTTGTGCATTTCATAGTATGTAAATTTTATCTTAAATAAAAAAAGAAAACTGCTAGCAAATGCAGAACTTTAGTGAATGATATGCATGTTATAGTAGTTCATGGGATGTGTACTGATTTCTGCAACTTACCTTGAAATGAACTGGCAGGTGAACAGAAGAGAGAATGAATAATATATGACAAAAGAAATAAAGTAAAATGTAAACTGTAGAATTGAGGTGGTGAGTACATGTGGATTTTCACTTAAAGATTCTTGCAACTTTTCTGTGTGCCTGAAATTTTTCTTATTTCCATTTTGCGGCAAAATAACACAATGAAGATACCACTGTTCATCTACCAGGGCAGCTAAATTTAAGTCAGACAATATGAATGAGAATGTAGGGTGATGGGAACCTTCATACCCTACTGATAGGAATATAAATTGGTAAAACCACTTCAGAAAACCTGACATTATCTCATAAGTTTAAAGTAAATGTAGCCGATAATACAGCAGTTTTATTCCTAAGTATTTTTATCCTGGAGCAGAGATAAGCAATGGAAAAGGCCAAATAGTTAATACTTCAAGCTTTGCGTCACAAGGACAGTCAGGCACCACATAATGACGTTTCAGTCAATGACAGATTGCATGTACAACAGTGATCCCATAAAATAGTAATTTTATTTTTTTCCTGTACCTTTTCTATGTTTAGATACACAAACAGTTCCCATTGTGTTACAGCTGTCCACAGTATTCAGTACAGTAACATGCCATAGAGGTTTGCACCACAGAAGTAGTACCCATACCATACAGCCTAGGTGTACAGTAGGTTATGTCATCTAGGTTTGTGTAAGTACACTCTATAATGTTCCCAAAACTACAAAATCATTTCTCAGAATGTATCCCCATCCTTAGCAAGTGACTATACTAAGTTTCCCATTGTTGCAAGAAAATAGATAATAAATGAGCAAGTGGACACAGCTGTGTTACAATATAACTTTATTTATGGGGTTCTGAAATTTATATTTCATAAATTTTCCTGTGTCAAGAAATGCTATTCTTCTTTTGATTTTTTTTCAACTACCTAAAAATGTATAAAACCATTCTCAGCTCACAGGCCATGTGAAACAGTGGGCCATATTTTACTAATCTCAACTCCACAGAAATAGACAGATTACTGGGCCCCATTCTTAGAGTTCCTGATTCATAAACTCTGGAGTATGTCCTGAGAATCTGCATCTCTTATAAGTTTCCAAGTAATGGAAATGTTGCAGTTCTCAGATCCCTGCCCAGGAGATATGAGTTATTCATATAACCACACAGTAACAGTATCCATATAATGAACAAAACATGGAAGCCCAAATATGCATCAAAAGCAGAATGAATAAGTGTGCTATAGTCACAGTGTAACATAAAGAATAGCAACAAAAATAGTTTCACACAATGCACATCAGCCTTAAAAATATATTAAGCAAAATTATCCAGACACAAAATAAAACACACTGAATTATTCCATTAATATAGTTTTTTTAATAAGGAAAATTGCATTTTTTAGAAATAAATAC